GATTAGTTTGATACTATAAAAGCAATTTTAATTTGGATATTAAAATTGCAATAATTTATGGATGATTGGTTGCAGGTTTGTTGGACACCAAACATCTGATTTATGTGAGGCCTGACCAAAGCCGACAGAATAAATCATTTGGTGTAGTGCTTATTACTGAGTGGAGATAAACACTTTTTTTTAATGACCTCTATGTCTGAGGCAGCAGAGGAATGAGATCCTTGCGACAAGAAAGACACATTTTTTGCTCTTTAAACAGAGATAAGGTCTCAAATAACAAGAAGTAAAATTTCCTTGAGTAAAGCTGCTTTGCATTTTTCTGGTTAGAGTCCAAATCTCACACAGAGCATGCTAAAAGATGAAATGTTCGCAATTTTCTTCTATTAAACCCTAAAGGATTATACAAAGAATGTTCTTTAGTATACAGGCTGAGCTTGTTGAACATATTTCTGACTTCATTTGTTTATTTTTATTTATTTGGTTTTGTCTTTATAAATTCCTCTGTCAGTAACGTGGAGGATTTTACTATATATATTTTTTTTATGTACATTTATGTTTAAATGTTTGCTAATTAAAACTCTGAGCTTAAAAAAAAAGAAAAATTATATAATACTGTGATTTGAGTATTTTCATGATCATTCAATCGACATAGCAGTTTACCCAGAAGGCAAGGCAAGGCAAATTTATTTGTATAGCACAATTCAGTACAAAGACAATGCAAAGTGCTTTACATGATTAAAATACTAGAAGATAAAACAGAATAAAAAGCAATTAGGAAAAAATAAATAAAATAAAATAAAAAATGCAGAAACAAAAAAGAATATTAAAAACAGTTGGAATAAAGAAAATATGTTGTAGTTGAACTTTTTAACTAGAACAGTGGAAGGCAATCCTAAACAAATGTGTTTTTAGTCTTGATTTAAAGGAACTCAGGCTTTCCGCACTTTTACAGTTTTCTGGAAGTTTGTTCCAGATAAGTGGAGCATACATGTAGGAACTAAATGCTGCTTCTCCATGTTTAGTTCTGGTTCTAGGTATGCAGAGCAGGCTGGAGCCAGAAGACCTGAGTGGTCTGGAGGGTTGATACACTGATAGCAAGTCTGTGATGTATTTAGGTGCTAAGCCATTCAGAGATGTATAGACTAACAGAAGGATTTTAAAGTCTATTCTCTGAGATACAGGGAGCCAGTGTAAGGACTTTAGAACTGGGGTGATGTGCTCTACTTTCTTAGTCTTAGTGAGGACACGGACTGCAGCGTTCTGGATCAGATGCAGCTGTCTGATCCACCTGTTAGGCCGACCTGTGAAAACACCGTTGCAGTAATCAATTCGACTAAAAATAAACGCATGGATTAGTTTTTCCAGAAGGTAGAAGAGTATGTAATAAATTTGATAAAGATAAAAATAATTGCATAAAAAATATAATCTGCTAATATCTGGATCTGTAGAACCTGGAATTTTTATAGGTAATCAGTCACACAATATCTGAACTTTGCATCTCTGTCAATGTTTCCTACAACACTTATTTATTATTTTGACACCAATACTATTGACTAAAGAGTATTAAAAATCGACAATAGTTTTGTACGGTTTTTATTAAATACTTTAACACTTTGCTCCTTGTAGAGTAAAACTGGTACAGCTCAATAACTTTCAAGCAGCCAGCTGACAGGCTGCTTCATTTGGGGGAGGGGTAGCGCTACACTAACCTGTGTTCCTTAAGAAATATTCACGCTGTTGTTTTCTGATCTAGGGGTGGGTGAGGGATCCGAAAAGTGGGAAAATGTATTCTGTCGATTGCTGTGGTTAGCAGTTACACGACAATCTTTTATGTTAAGGGGCCAGATGTGCGGGACGACCACCCAGTGGGGGTCCAGATACTATGAGAATAGATTTGTTCAACAATCATTTCTAATTAGGGCTGGTAAATGTTAAATATATTTAAGTACATTTTAGGTACAAAGAGATGATATTTGTGTATTTCATTGGAAGTTTATCCAAATGCCAAATGTTAGGGCAATAAGATCCCCTCATCCCATCCCCCACTAAGCCCCCTTGCAATTAACATTCAAGTAGAGATATTAAGACCAAGCCACATCATGCATTGTAACAGATTATTTTGGGGGCACTACTGCTCCATCAATGTGCTAATCAAGAAAAAAAAGGAACCAAAATTCTATGAAGCTGCACCAACCTCTTAAACTCCTGCTTCTTTAGATTCCCACTTTTATTTCTTTTTCTTTTTTTTGAGTGTTTAATTCCTACTATGTCACATCCTTGTGGTACGTCAGTTTTGGTCGATGGATGGTACCTAAGTTCACATTGCAAGAGAAGCGCTCCCTTAATCTGTAACCTCTTCTCTAGATAAAGGGTCAGTATAAACATTCTAGGGTATGGTTCTCTGGTCAGTTTTTGGTTCCAGGATAAGTTTACTCCAGTTTGGTCATGCAGCAGGCACAGCGTGCATGATCCAGGTACGAAGGCCTTAGTCCTCGAAGCGGCCGACCATGCAGGGTTCGAATCCGACCTGAGGTCCTTTGCCACATGTCTCTCCCCCTCTCTCATTCCCAGTGATGAAAGTAACAGCGTTGAAAGTAACGCCGTTACTAATGCCGCTACCTTTTTTTAGTAACGAGTAATCAAAATTATTACTCTTACTGTAACTTTAACGCAGTTACAATTGCCGACACCCCATTACTGCACGTTACTCAGGTCGCACAATTAACCTTTTTTCATGATAGGACTCGTGCTCGCGTCATGAAAGATGGGAGGATGGAGAGTGAGGAGGACTCCAGCGGCAAAACAGCGCTTTCAAGATGGAAATACTGGTGTTACGTCAAGCTGCGTTTCCCCTGCATCTCCGCACAGCGCGGCTGCACGATTCACCGCGCAAGCGACAGGAAGCGAGCATGCTCGCTAAAGGCGCGTAACAGCCGCCCTGTGCTCGCGCCACAGGGGAACTACGGAGAGCGTGAACGATCATTAGCCTATATGGAGAAAGGGAGATGGATGGATGGAATAGATAGATAGATATAGCTACATGTTGCAGTATCTATAACAACCCAAACACATGATTTCAGAATTAGACATCCCCAGTTATTAATTTCATACACTCGCAAAAGTAACGCAATAGTTACTTTTACTACTAACTAGTTACTTTTATTGTGGAGTAACTCCGTTACTAACTCAGTTACTTTTTGGGAGAAGAAACTAGTAACTATAACTAATTTACGGTGGCCTGGAAGTGCAAACCAACAATACAAAATCTGAAACACTTTTACAAATCTTGAAACAAATTTACATTTCAGAAAACAAATTTACAACAAACGAAACACTTTTACAAATCTCGAAACAAATTTACAAATCTTGAAACAAATTTACATTTCAGAAAACAAATTTACAACAAACGAAACACTTTTACAAATCATAAAACAAATTTACATTTCAGAAAACAAATTTACAACAAACGAAACACTTTTACAAATCTCAAAACAAATTTACAAATCTTGAAACAAATTTACATTTCAGAAAACAAATTTACAACAAACGAAACACTTTTACAAATCATAAAACAAATTTACATTTCAGAAAACAAATTTACAACTGACAAAATCTTACGGAAAGGGAGGGACTGTCTTCGAAGCTTACCCGGAAGTGATAACCGGAGCGTTCATGATGACCCAAGATGGAAGCGAATCGAGTTGCGTTTTGCCCGTTCTGCGGCACTCATGTGAGCAGTTTAACGCGGTTTTGTTTTTCCTGCGGTCGGTCCTTGGAGTTTTTAAATGGTACCGAACAGACGGAAGAACCGGTCTTGTGCGAAATTCTGTTTCCCCGTGAAAATCTGTTCCCCCTGTGTCGGGAGCGCGCGTTGCAGCCAGAGAGGCGGATCTGCCCATTTTCAAGGCGCTCCTGATCATTTTTCAGGAAAAACAGCTCATATAATCATCTCGACTTTGTAACATCCATTTTAATCGGTTGCTCTTTTTAAAAAATTGTAAAATAAATACATTAATGAGGCCCTCTTACACTGTTTTGTGTTGTTTTTTAAACGCCAAGAGAATCGGTATTTCTCCAACTTTTGTCCCTTCAGCCTGACAAAAATAAACGTCAGTCACCGAACACAACAACACGTAGTGTATTTTTCATTTTTCATTGCTGATATAAGAGGATGGAAACTGGCTGATAGCAGGGCACACAGATTAAGACGTCCTGCGAAGATGAGAAGAATTTCTGGTTAATCACCTTCTAATGTAAAATATGACAGATTACTGGATTAAGGACATTTATAGTATACCACATCACACATATCAATTTTAGAGAAATTGGAAACAGTTGCTCTTTATTTCCCAAAGATATGGGAGGAGGAGAGGAGAGAATGGATGTTTCAGCTGCCTGAAATAATCTGTTCCCCCTCCATAAAAGGGGAAGAAATTGATTTACCTGCAAGTCTTTAACTGTGCTTATTCCCCTCACCACCAAGAACAAATCCTGTGGATTTGGTCATATTTACTGGTTATATGCAAAAATTAAAGGGGGGGAACAGATTATTTCAGCTGCCTGAAATAATCTGTTCCCCCTCCATAAAAGGGGAAGAAATTGATTTACCTGCAAGTCTTTAACTGTGCTTATTCCCCTCACCACCAAGAACAAATCCTGTGGATTTGGTCATATTTACTCTTTATTTGCAAAAATTAAAGGGGGGGAACAGATTATTTCAGCTGCCTGAAATAATCTGTTCCCCCTCCATAACAGGGGAAGAAATTGATTTACCTGCAAGTCTTTCTAACTGTGCTTATTCCCCTCACCACCAAGAACAAATCCTGTGGATTTTGTCATATTTACTCTTTATTTTTAAAAATTAAAGGGGGGGAACAGATTATTTCAGCTGCCTGAAATAATCTGTTCCCCCTACATAACAGGGGAAGAAATTGATTTACCTGCAAGTCTTTAACTGTGCTTATTCCTCTCACCACCAAGAACAAATCCTGTGGATTTGGTCATATTTACTCTTTATTTGCAAAAATTAAAGGGGGGGGGGGGGGACAGATTATTTCAGCTGTTTGAGCTGCCTGATATAATCCATTCTCCCAATAACATGGGGAAAAAAATTACCAGCAAGTCCTTAACTTTGATTCAAAAACATCTGCTCTTCATTTGATAAAGGCAAGAGGCCTTGGAATTTAAATCTTTCAATAACTATGTTAAAATAAAGTCTTGGAAGAATAAATATCAAACATAGTTTTTAAAATGTCATTTATGAAGCATTAAACAACATGCTTAAACCAGCACACCACAGCAAACTCAGGAACCTAAGGCAAACATGCAAAGCAGTAAAAGTTTTTTTCAGTTGGTGGGCTAGCCACACATGCCTGATGGAACCACCTTAGGCACATGTCACAGAGGATCTAGGAAAGAAACCAAAAATGTAAAGTTTTATTTTAAAAATATGTCTTTGCGATTACACTACGCAATCAATAATTTCAGATTCCCTTATATTCCAATTGCTGGAGGATCCTATCAAAAATGCATTAATAGACTGCAATGTGTAACAAGAAAAAATATTAGTTATATACTTTAACTGCTGTGATATTCCTAAACATTATGGTCATTGTACCCACCTGACTCACCAGTTCCATGCCAGGACCAATTTTGTAAATGTCAGAGTAAAACAACTTATATGCATTCACTTTTGACAGAAGGACAAAGACGTTTTTTCCAGAAAAAGCTTCATGGACATCTGATGAGGAGGAGGGGTTGAGGAGAAGTGGAAAAAGAAACAAAATTTAAAGATTATTTTCATTATCATGGCACCTATTTCATTCAATTTTACAACATATCACATATGTTATCCAACGATATGCAATTCATGATTGGAGAATGAGAAAGTATTAACTTCACAGATTCATTCAGCTACTTTGAACATAGCAATTAATAATAAAGCTAGAACTGTTTTTTACTGACTCACTGAAATTATTCTTAAAAAAAAGACTAAATTGCATATCCATACAAATACATTTTTAACAGACACATATGTATGATAATACAAAGTGAAATCTATGTGCTTTGATACATCCATCCATTTTATGTCACGCTTATCCCAAGCAGGGTCGTGAGGGGTGCTGGGGCCTATCTCCAGCTGTCTAAGGACGAGAGACAGGGTTGCTTTGATATATATTTATAAGAATTTAAAAGAAAATTTACATTTCTCTGCTAGGGATTTTCTCTGCGTATCAGGTGGTGCTGGATCAGAGGGAGATGATGGAATAGAGGGAGGTGGTGCTGGAGTAGAGGGAGATGATCCTGGAGCAGAGGGAGATGATGGAGCAGAGGGAGGTGGTGCTGGAGCAGAGGGAGATGATCCTGGAGCAGAGGGAGATGATGCAGCAGAGGGAGGTGGTGCTGGAGCAGAGGGGGAACAGATTATTTCAGTAAACTGAAATATATGGTTCCCCCGCTTTAATTTTTGCAAATAAAGAGTAAATATGACCAAATCCACAGGATTTGTTCTTGGTGGTGAGGGGAATAAGCACAGTTAAAGACTTGCAGGTAAATCAATTTCTTCCCCTGTTATGTAGGGGGAACAGATTATTTCAGGCAGCTGAAATAATCTGTTCCCCCCCTGTAATTTTTAAAAATAAAGAGTAAATATGACAAAATCCACAGGATTTGTTCTTGGTGGTGAGGGGAATAAGCACAGTTAGAAAGACTTGCAGGTAAATCAATTTCTTCCCCTGTTATGGAGGGGGAACAGAATATTTCAGGCAGCTGAAATAATCTGTTCCCCCCCTTTAATTTTTGCAAATAAAGAGTAAATATGACCAAATCCACAGGATTTGTTCTTGGTGGTGAGGGGAATAAGCACAGTTAAAGACTTGCAGGTAAATCAATTTCTTCCCCTTTTATGGAGGGGGAACAGATTATTTCAGGCAGCTGAAACATCCATTCTCTCCTCTCCTCCTCCCATATCTTTGGGAAATAAAGAGCAACTGTTTCCAATTTCTCTAAAATTGATATGTGTGATGTGGTATACTATAAATGTCCTTAATCCAGTAATCTGTCATATTTTACATTAGAAGGTGATTAACCAGAAATTCTTCTCATCTTCGCAGGACGTCTTAATCTGTGTGCCCTGCTATCAGCCAGTTTCCATCCTCTTATATCAGCAATGAAAAATGAAAAATACACTACGTGTTGTTGTGTTCGGTGACTGACGTTTATTTTTGTCAGGCTGAAGGGACAAAAGTTGGAGAAATACCGATTCTCTTGGCGTTTAAAAAACAACACAAAACAGTGTAAGAGGGCCTCATTAATGTATTTATTTTACAATTTTTTAAAAAGAGCAACCGATTAAAATGGATGTTACAAAGTCGAGATGATTATATGAGCTGTTTTTCCTGAAAAATGATCAGGAGCGCCTTGAAAATGGGCAGATCCGCCTCTCTGGCTGCAACGCGCGCTCCCGACACAGGGGGAACAGATTTTCACGGGGAAACAGAATTTCGCACAAGACCGGTTCTTCCGTCTGTTCGGTACCATTTAAAAACTCCAAGGACCGACCGCAGGAAAAACAAAACCGCGTTAAACTGCTCACATGAGTGCCGCAGAACGGGCAAAACGCAACTCGATTCGCTTCCATCTTGGGTCATCATGAACGCTCCGGTTATCACTTCCGGGTAAGCTTCGAAGACAGTCCCTCCCTTTCCGTAAGATTTTGTCAGTTGTAAATTTGTTTTCTGAAATGTAAATTTGTTTTATGATTTGTAAAAGTGTTTCGTTTGTTGTAAATTTGTTTTCTGAAATGTAAATTTGTTTCAAGATTTGTAAATTTGTTTCGAGATTTGTAAAAGTGTTTCGTTTGTTGTAAATTTGTTTTCTGAAATGTAAATTTGTTTCAAGATTTGTAAAAGTGTTTCAGATTTTGTATTGTTGGTTTGCACTTCCAGGCCACCGTACTAATTACTTTTTCAAAGTAACGTGCCCAACACTGCTCATTCCCCCTTTCCTGTCAGCCTACTGTTGAAAAAAACAAGCCACTATGGCTGTAAAAACTTAAAAAAAAAACTAAGAAAAAGTTTACTCCAGTGGCATCCTGGCACAATAAAAAGTGTTCCTAAGGTTTGGATTATAAGCACTGTCACTTTCTCTTGTTTCCTGTTTAAAACAGACTGTAGAAACGGTATGATGAAAGCAGGATTTTGTTTTGTTTTTACCTCAGCATACCTTTACATCAGAATTGATCACAGTACCGGCATTTTATCAGATTTAATCCAAATATTCTGTGCTTCTCATTTTATTTCACCTCTCAAAGGTTAAATGTAGCTCTAAAGTAGGAAAATCTATTCTTGCTCTTTTATAGTGGTAATTTTTTTAAGCTGGGTCGAGAATGAAATTTCACTGAAACATTCTGAATGAAAAAGAGAAAATAACAGCTATTCTAAATTGCAGTACAGTAGCTAAGTTGCTTTGCTTATTAACTCGCCTCCACACAGAACTCTCTTTATAAAGGAAAAAATCACTCCTGAGCTTTTATCTCTGATTGCCTTTCTTGTTCCGTCTTCTCTTCGGACACCATGACAATGTTAGGTGATTGTACTGTAACGAAGCCTTTGTGATGGAGCGGGAACCAGCCAAGGTTACACAACAGCAGGGCTTTATCAGAGAAGCTGATGTCCTCCGGTTTATAACCTTGGCTCACATCCGCTTCTGTTTCCCGCTAACTGAATTGGCACAGACACAGGGAGTTTGTGTGATGGGATGTGTTTGGAGGAGGACTAATGGCAACAAGTCAAGAAAAATGCTGATAAGACAAACGATAAATTATTTGAACATAGATCTGGTGTCCAGTTTCACATGGACAGCATGTGTAAAACATTTGTTTTTACTTTCTTAGGTAGGCGTGCGTAAGAGTTGCAGCCAAGTGAAAAGAGATTCCATCTTAATCCCAGGTTTCCTAACTTCATTTGGGCATAAATTGTTCGCCAAAGCTCTTAATTCACTGGAAAATCACTTAATTATGTTGGCTATTCCTCAAGTCTGCCATCAGAAGAGGAGTCTTGCCTTCTGCCCTTAAACCACCGGTGTAGAAGGTTTTTTTGTTATTAGCCTGTGCTGGCAATCCATCTTGGAGATCCCAGATTCTCCAAATGAGAAATACTCTGGTCAAGGTCTAGGCCATCCAGACAATTAGGAAGGAAAGCCATGGGAGACGGAGCATAAGGCAGCTGTAAATCTTGACCACAGCCAAGTTTATGACAGTGGAGGGATAATGCGTGTCTAGAATGAGGGTGAGGGGATTCATTTGGCTTTTTTTTTGTAACTCCGGAGGCCTTAGACCAGGCAGTCATTTCTCACCCACTGCCTCCCACTGCTATGGCCTTGAGATTTTCCTCTGGTGGGGGTAGTGGGAATGGAAGTCCCATTAATGGTTGACTCATTGTTTGGAGTTTGGCCTCACATGGCGCTTTAATGAAGACTGGGTGATTATCAACTCAAGAATGCTTAGATTGCCCTCTGAATCCTTCAACCTTAATGTCAGACCGAGTATTTGTCTCCATTGCCAAATACGACCCATGTGAACATTTATAGAAGAAAAAAAAAAAAACAAATGGAACACCGACAGGTGGTTTTACTTACAAGCTCTTTATCGTCTCCAAGAAAGTCAAGTAGAGTTTGGAGACGTTTTATGTAGTACATAGTTTTCCTTTCAGTGTCCCCTGTTGCCTTTGTCGTTTTTTCACTTTTTTGGGGGTTGGTTTTATGTGCTAAAGTAACCTAACTAGATTCACATTTGGCTATGGGGCAAATGCCAGTTTTTCAACTCAATCTGAACCCTAATGATTAGGTAATGACAAGTCTGCTAAAACTCTCACTGGGAAATCTCTATCAATCTTCATTTGGCAGGGTTCTTCCCTTTGTTTTAGGTTTATTTTTAGTTTCTTTGTAATTTTCTAGCAGTGTTGTGTTCCTGGGTTACTCTCTGTTGCCCCTTGTGCTTGTTTCCTTTCCCTTTGGCTCCCTTCTAGTCAGTTCTATTCACACCTGCTCCATATCAGTCCACTACACCATCCTTTGTTCAGTTCTCCATATATACACCACCTCTGCATTTCCTCAATGCTGGTTTCCTTTTGATTTGTTGCTTCATTGTTTGCTCCACATGTATTGTTTCGCCCTGGATTCTCCTTTGCCTTCTTTGCCTCAGTTGGCTGTGGAAGCTTATTAAATCAGCACAACTAATCTCTGACTCCTCATCTCTGCATTTGGGTCCTCAAAAACCTCCACCAAACCTTGACATATAAAAAAATCAAGAACAAATCCAACACTGTTTTCTTCTTGTTTGTGAATGAGATTAAAATGCAATTTCCCTCTCACTTGTCGAGGTAAGGCTTGAATGAGTGCAGACTCCTTAAGGCTGGTTTTCACAAGAAGATTTTCAAAATTTTGGGTAGTTTTCAAATTTCTAGAAGCCTCATATATGATTACAAAAATTTGAAGAAGCACAATTTTTGTCATACAGTGGGTGGTCTACAGGCAGTTGCCAAGTGCATCATGTCATGCATGAGCCAATTTGGAAACAAATTTGATGTGCATCGTCAGTCTTCTTTGTACAATACCTGCAAACAGGCCGGCAGTAGCGCTGGGAAGTCCCAGTGACAGCTTCCTTAAGCAGACCGATCATTCTGGTATTGCCTATTGCCATTTGTACCAGCTGGAAGTGAAAATAAGTGGTTTTTAGATGGAAAAAGGTACGAGAATATAAAATCAAATATTTTTCAGTGGTAGGTTTTGACATTTTAAGTTAAGGTATGAATTTTAAACCGTTTGGTTAGATTTAAAAATATATATTTTCAATATGGAGTAATCAGAGCCCTCTCAGTTTTCCTTGGACATGAAAAAAATCTTAGGCCAATCGCTTAGGCCAAAGTATTGATTAAGGAAGGCTGAATTCATGTTTAAATTCTCACTTCTCACTTGTAAAACCTAAACATCTTTCATTGTAAACTGACATTAGCTTTAGAATTTTAATTTTTTATTGAAAGCATCAGTGCTGCTTCAAGCATGAAGTGTTTTATTGAAGCTAATCTCTTATCTAGAATACAAAATAAAAATTCTGTAACAGGAGGAAATACTCTTTAAGAGTGAAAGCTTTGATGGCTTGAAACAGCCTGAAGCATCACACCTGTTAGGATCACGTAAATGTTGGGAGTAATTGTAGTTATTGTGATGTAAATCTGATTCAATACCTAATTTCATGTCGACAGCTCTGATCTTTTGCTTTACCATTTAAAAGGATATGATGTCACATCCAAAAGCACTCCTGATAAACACCTCGGACAAAAGAATCTCTTTAATGTTATTTTCCATTGACTGCT